TTTTCTTGACTTCGGACAAGTCTCGAATTTTACTTGCATTGCCTGACATTAATGCCTATAACGGTGCATCTTGCCTGGTAGATGGCACTGTTGTCTCAAGCTCCATCCAGTCTAAGCAGTAAATATAAATGCATCATTTTTATGTTTCTTTAGCGCATTCAACAAGTGGACGATCAGTTTTCTTCTCGACGTGAAGGGAAGAAGGAGCAGAATATTAGCAGAAATCGTTACAAAAACATTGTTCCATTTGATCATACTCGGTGAGTCATGACAATTCCTTTTTTTGTTGGATATCTTCTTGCTTGCGTTAGACTGCGTTCAGACTTCGCGAATGGATCGCGCGATCAGATCGCACTGTGTGAGCGCTATCAATATGAATTCTGCCGTTGCGGCGGTGGAGCGCCCGGTCGTGGTCGAGCAGTGGATCGCGCGGTCCAGTTGCTCGGGCGAACCGACCGCGAAGTCTGAACGAGGTTCAATGGTTGTCAGAAAACACCTCGTCCTATTGAGCAGGCCATAAATATCGGCATTTTACTTATCATGAAGTTTTTTTGTGTAGGGTTTAATGCTTTGCCATTTCATTTTGTACTATTGTCGCGGTTTCACAGTAAGTAACGAAGGCGCTGCGGTCCTAATAAGTGGTAGTTCTCAGGTAGTTGTCCCACCCACCAAAATTAAAGACTGTTACCTGTCAGGAGTTAAGTTTTTACACCATGTTTTTGGTTTTTCTTCAGATGGTATTACATTAGATGACGTAGAAACATCTAACGAGGAAAGGGTAGCAGGATATCGCTTTGCTGGCATAAAACGGGCGCTCCGGACAACTCGTGCAGTAAGGCTGCCAAAAGGATCTTATTTAGGGTGTCCATTATAATTTTTTTGTCTTTTCTCGCTTGGAAAATCGCTTGGGTACTAATGGGACTATAGGTTTGTCATTGAACACCGCTATCCACAATATAAATCACGAGATTTGTCTTTCATATGGCTTGAAATTGGCATAAGCAACTGTGAAGGTTTTGATTTCGATCTTGCGGCCAAGCATCGCTTTCGTCAGTGCTGTTGAGTTCGATTGCCATCCTCTTAATTAGATACTCATAAGGATTCGAGCCAGCGACCAAGGACCTATGGGGAGGGGGGGGTGTCAAGAAGCGCCATTGAGTTACTCGATGAAAACATTCGAAAACCTAGCGTAGGCGTTCCCTATGCAGCCGTTCTTCGTCAGACTCAGGTCCCCCGATGAATTGCATATTTATGAGGTCCGAATTCTCATCTTCGATTCCCTTGCTCATGTTCGAGCCGCATGAAATTCCCAACTGAATAATTTGAATTCATTAGCAGAACGGTTCATTTTGCCGCACGGAATTTAGGAGCTGAAAATGCAGTTACTTATGGGCCAATACAATAATAGGCAAATGGCTAGATCTTAAGGGATTTGTGAGAAATTCTGATATCTCTTCTAATTTTCGAAGACGGATAAATACTGTATAGGATGTTGATTGCAAAGAGAGAGATTTGCTTGTTTCTATCATGCTGTTAATTTCGTATTTGTTGAGAATTTGACATTATAAGCGCTTCACGCTTTGCGGCGGCAACTTTTTGAACGTCAATTAGGGTTTTGAGCTACTTGGAAAGCATAGGTATCGATCTAGCGTTTTGAGCATTTTGAGCGACAAAGAAAGTAGGGGGTATCGACCACTCAAAACGCTAACAAACGCTCGAAACGTTGCAGCGGAGTATGAACCTTTTTAACGGTCGCCTCTGATAAGGGGTTTTGACTTTTACGTTCAAGAGAAATGTTCGACAAAAGGACTGGATTGAGGACTTCCAAGAATGGATGCTCCATACCCAAGACCCAGTTGACCTTTTTTTTCATGAAATCTATTTGTGTTATTCACGTGAAATAGTGGACAAATTGTTTTTACCGACAAATTGTGGAAGTTCTTCTGATGCGATCGGTAACTATTGAACATGAATATTTTCTTCCAATACTCACGTAGCTGAAGCTGTATTCATTGTTCCATCGCGTCCTAAGATTGCACTCAACTGAGTGCAAAGCCGTTTCAGCAAGAAGAACGTTCGCGTTTTCGTAAGACGGCGCATATTTTATCTGCCAAATAGTTTTGCTTTTAAGTCAAGTCGTTGGACGCGAATTTTTCAGTCCATCACACTAGCCAAAGATAAGCTTTTTCCTCATCGAACTTTTCTAAGTCAGTGGTAGACCGTTGAGAGTTTTGCTGAAAGAACGTAGCCGTCTCTGTGAACTTTGGTTGACATTCTGTCTGATAAGAATAATTCCTCATGACTGTGATTTCGTTGATGGCATTTAAAAATGGTGAGTTGTGTGGTAAATAACACAAAAGTAAAGAAGAGAGCACTAAAAATCCGTCCGACATGCCCCATGTAGAAGGCTATGCTGCACTGCGCTTGTATACGTCCAAGGCGTGGAATTTGTATGGTCGGACGAGTTTCCCCTTATTGGTTTAAGCTCTTTCTTTTTATTGCCTCACTCTCACCAGTCAAAATGCAGAGAGTCAGTAGCGGAACAAACGCACCCTCAGGTAGCGTTAAAAATGAAAATTAGGCGCAGCGTCCAGTGCGCGGAGCCGCCTAATGCCGTTTAGGACGCACTAACTTTTGGCAACAAGCTCATTTATGAAGTGTCAAGATCAACAAATCGCTGCTTGTACACAGGGGTAACTTAACATCCTGATTACGAATATGACATTCATTATCTTTGCTGGCGCTAATGGAGACACTACGATTATCTGCGCTCTGCTAAGGCTGAGCCCAGAAGATAATCGTAGTGTCCTCCATTAGCGCCAGCCTAAGAATGACTGTCATATTTGTGACAGGATGTTAAATTACCCTATATACAAGTTTTCAGCGGATTTGGTGAACTTAGCACTTCATAAATGAGCTCGCTGCCAAAAGTGAGTGCGTCCAAACGGCATTAGCCCGCGGAGCCGTAGTTCCATCGCGAACGGGCGCTGCTTTCCTCACACAGTTTTGAGCTGTGAAAGTACTACATCCTACGTGTTTACTGGTAAGACCGCCATCCCAAGGAAGGCGCCTGAACCCCAAATGAACGCGTGATTTCACATTACATTTGAAAATTAATGAATCATGAGTACAATTGTGAAAAACTATAATGTTCTCAATGAAGCGTCATAACACCAGAACACTAATAGAAATGAAGATCATATTAGAGAACTCAGGTTGGTCTCCGCCCCAGAGAAAGAGGGGGAATCGAGCAAAAGGGTCGCAAGATTCCGCTTCGTCGCGCGCGGCAGTTGGCGCGACATTTCCTTGATTTGCACTACCCCTTTCGACTGGAGCATCGGATTTTATAGGCAATGACATGGTAGACACTTATGTCTATTTTTAGGTCATTCGTTGCCTACGCTCGTTTTGTCACATACCCGAGAAAGAGTCCACCTCAAGGAGCGTTCCCTTTGGAATGCTCCTTCAAGGTTTATAGGAATATGCTTTTGCTCGGCTTCCGTCTAAGGGCACGTGCGAAACGGAAGCTGAGCTATCTCTTTGCTTTCGACCCCCCTCAATAATTCTATTAGAGCGCGTTCAGACTTCGCGATCGCGCTACTGAGGGTGAAATTACTGCGGGAGGGGGTCATGTTCGTTCATGTTCAACT